AGTGAGCCACCAGCATCAAGCTTAGTCCTTGTGTTTTTGAGATAAGGTCTTGCTGTGTAACCTCTGTTGGCCTCAAACTTGGCGTCATCCTGCCTTAGCCTACCTAGTGCTGAGATTATAGATGTGTGCCACCATATACAGCTTGTATGGTTTTATACTTCCCTGTACACACCTAGTGCCATTCAGCATTGTTCTATTTTTGATCCTCAGTTGGCTGCTCTCTGACTATTGCCCCAACTGCTCTGTGGGTACAGGTGGGAGTATCTGTCCTCTTTGGCTCACAGTCTACCAGGGCTTTTTATAGGGCCATGCATGGTGCAAGCAAAAGTTATTATTTAAAGGAATTTGAATTTTACCACAGTAGAAGTTAAAATTGTTTACATTGGAGAGAGTGGGTGTCCAAACAGGTTTTAATCATGCATGGTACCTGCCTTTCTTCTTGGAGGTCAGGCCCAAACTGCTGGCAATCAATCGTCTTCTCCTTAGGACTTCTGCTTGGTTTGAAGATGGCATTGCAGGAAACATTAACTTTCCCAGAGATTTTTGATGGGTTGGGACACAGTTAAGTTGGCACTTACTAATAGTATAACACATAAAATATTTTCCAGAGTTAGCTGGCAGGGAAATAGCAAGAAGCCCTTTCTATATCTGACCTTGATTTCGACAAAAAAAAAAAAAACAAAACACTCCTTTTCCTATCTTCCTTAGGTTGAATAGTGCTTTCATTGTGACTAGGACCACCCCAAATCATTTAGGTGGCAGTGGGTCACCCAGCAGGGATCTGAGCATGACACACTGCTGCCGAGAGTGGGTGCTTCTAGCTGGCTTCCCAGGTGGCTATGGGCAGGTGGTTCCCCTTTCTGTGGTGGGGTCTTTCCCAGCTGTGCTGCTTCTGTCTCTTAGGATAGTAACTTGAGTTACTAAATGAAAAACGTTCAGACTTCCTGTGAAGAAAGGTGCTATGTAAATACTGTTATTATTGCTATTGTGGTGATGATTACCATATGCACACACGCTGGAGTTTCTATAATTAAGAAAAGTACTGAGTGTGTAATTTTTAACTCTCCACCAAGTGGCAGTTGTGGTGAATGGCAGTCCCAATCTGGTGCTGGGAATACAAGTGCCTCCAGTAAGAGGGACTTGAGAGTTCCTGAGCTGTTGTGCCCACCTCCTTCCCAGCTCCATATTGCTCTTGGCCCTCATTGTCAGGGTAGGGTGGGGTGGGGGGTACTTATGGGGTTTTCCATTCTCCTAATTACTCCCCTGTCCATTCTGTTCACAGGATAACACGCGGATCTCCTCAGCCGGATGCCTGGGGGAGTTGTGTGCCTTTTTGACAGAAGAGGAGCTCAGCACTGTCCTTCAGCAGTGCTTGCTAGGTAGGTCTCCCTTCAGGGTCTTGGGCCCTTTGCCCCAGGAGAGATGCCCTGCCATTGTTGCCTTCTACCTTAAAGAATCTTGTAGCCCCTAGACTACTCTTTCAAACAATTCAAATGTCCAGTGCCCCACAGCTCCAAGTGTTACTGCTCTAAGAATAACTGCAAGCTGGACATGGTTAGTGAAAGACCGCCCTGTCACTTTGGGGCAGACGCTTCTGTCATGGAAGCAGGAAGGTACATAGTGTGGCCTGGCACTTCCACCATGCCCCAAATATGCACCCTAGTTTTAGTGGTAGATTTCATGGATTGTGTTCTTCTACCCAGCTGACGTATCTGGAGTTGACTGGATGGTTCGGCATGGGCGGAGCCTGGCACTGTCCGTGGCTGTTAATGTGGCTTCCAGCAGACTCTGTGCAGGCAGATACAGCAGTGAAGTTCAGGACATGATCCTCAGCAATGCTGTGGCAGACAGGGTAAGGCCTTTTAGGCAGCCGGGCACGGTCCTCCCTTCCCCTAGCCAGACCTCCACGGCAGTTGACTTGCTGATCCTGTATGGGGGGACTTCCCAGTTGGATGTTCAGATCATGGTGCTAGTATTGCTTTGCTTGGTAACTTGCTGGGCCCTAGGATAGTGCTTGATCCCTCTTAGGTTTACTTTTGTCATCCAAACAGTTCCATCAGAAGATCTCTGATTCTTGTTCCTGTCAACTAGTGACTTTATTCCTGTGCCTGACTATTAGAGCAGCCATCTGAATGTGAAGTGCTGTTGTGAAGCATCGGTGTGAAGTGGTGTGGGATGAGATAGGTGGTGAAGGGCCCTCGAAGTCCCTGGGGAATGGGTCTTGGTCAACTCGTGGTGTCTCCAAGGAGGAGGGTTGCCGGTGTCTCTCTAGCATTTTCTCTTCTCTGTAGATCCCCATCGCAGTGAGTGGAATCCGGGGCATGGGCTTCCTGATGAAGTACCACATTGAGACAGGAGGTGGTCAGTTGCCACCCAGACTCTCCAGCCTGTTCATTAAGGTGAGTGTGATCCACAAACTTGGCTTGGAGAAGGCCTCAGGAGAGAATCATACTCTACTAGTTGGCGGCTAGTTTTTCATAGACCTCCAGGAGGTCTCTAGATCCTTGAGAATGGAGACAAAGTATTTGTGTCTGTTATTCTTAGGCTATAAGTCTCCAACTTTTGGTCAGATTCTCAATTCTACCCAGAATCAAGTTAAAACTACTGTTCTAGTTTATTTTTTGCCAGTCCTGGGGCTTGAACTCTGGGCCTACTCACTGTCCATGAGCTTCTTTTGCTCAAAACTAGTGCTCTGCTACTTGGGCCATAGCACTACCTCTGGCTTTTCTGAGTATTTTATTGGAGATAAGAGTCTCACAGACTTTACTGCTCAGGATGGCTTCAAACTATTTTAATGGGGTAGAGCCATGATTTAAATTTTGCCTCTGTGACCAGTTCGTAGGCAATTTCATTGCTGCCATGCTTGGGCCTGGCTCTGGATAATGAGGCTCCAACTCCCTCTGCAGACATCCAATTTCTGACTAAGAGTTTCTAGGGCTCCAATAAGATGGGCTCTTTGAACTGGGCTGGTAGGTCACAGCTATAATCCTAGCTACTTAGGAAGTGATCTGAGGATTGTGGTTCGAAGCCAGCCTGGTCAGAAAAGTCCATGGGTATCTTATCTCTAATAAACAACTCAGAAAAAAGCCAGAAATGGCACTGTGCCTCAAGTGGTAGAGTGCTAGCCTTGAGCACAGAGAGGCTCAGAGACAGTGCCCAGGCCCTGAGTTCAACCTCCTAGACCAGCAAAAAACAAAAACAAAGACAGGGTCTGTGTGTCCTGGCATTAGCCTGCACTTACTCATTTGCTCTTGTGTTTATTTACTAAGTACCACTGTATACTGTACTGGGTAAGACCCTGAAGAGGTGAAGATGAATGAGGCAGACAAGCTCCCTGGAGCACAGAGGAGGGGGGTCCTAATTCAGATAGGGCTGTCAAGAGAGACATTTGAAAGATGAGAAGGAACCAATGAGGTTAAGATCTCAGGGCCAGCAGTGGGGTAAGCTGGAGCAGAGGCCTAGGTGGGAAGGGGTGTGGCTTGTTTGCGGAAGTAAGGACTGTATGTGGGCTAGGAATGGTAAACCCAAGAGAGAATGGCACCAGATGAGGTAGAGAAGGTAAACAGGCTGAACCATACCACCCTCACCAGATAGCGACAACCTAAGCAAGGAGCAGTGGGGTCAATGTGGTGAAGAGAGTGTTGGGGTAGGAATCTAAGCTGCTCTGAGAGGCAGATCATTACACATGTCTTTGCTCCTCTTACAGTGTCTTCAGAACCCATCCAGTGACATCAGGCTGGTAGCTGAGAAGATGATCTGGTGGGCAAACAAGGACCCATTGCCTCCATTGGAGCCCCAGACTATCAAGCCCCTTTTGAAGGCTCTTCTGGACAATACCAAGGATAAGAACACTGTTGTGAGGGCCTACAGCGACCAGGCCATTGTGAACCTGCTCAAGATGAGGCAGGGAGAGGAGCTGTTTCAGGTGGGAGCCTGGACTTGAAATGCTTTGCAGGGCATTTTTCTTAAGTCTTTTTGCACTGTAGTACTTAAGGCCTATTGCCTCTGCCACCACATATGTACTCACTGTCAGGAGCAGATGGACCCTCAAGTGACTGGCCTACCACCTGAAAATACAGTGATGGTGATTCTCAAAAGAAGTCTCCCATGACACGCAGGCACACGCCACAAATTCCAGTAGCGCTGCCCTCTCTCTGAGCCCTTGCCCCAACAGCCTTTTAACGCAGTAAAAACTGCAACCTGTGCTCCCTCAGTTTAGGACAGGCAGGATGAGCATTTTCCTGAGTTGTCCCTGGCTCTATCTGCTTCCCTTATTTTGCCAGTTTCCATCTCAGTGGCTCTGATGCTGAGGTTAGCATCCATCTTTGTCTTGGTTTGACTGAGGAGTCTGAGGTGTGTTTTCTGACTATCTTCTGCTCATCCTTCCTCACAGTCCCTCTCCAAGATCCTGGATGTGGCCAGCTTGGAGGCACTGAATGAATGCAACCGAAGGTCCCTGAAGAAGCTGGCTGGTCAGGTGGACTCCACAGAGCAGGTGGATGACACCATTCTGACGTGACGTGATAGACAGACCTGGGCCTGCTGCAGCCACTCAGCTCCACACCTTTGTTCACTGTTTTCATTTTTGAAAATACGTTTTTTCGGATGGGGAGCTTAGAAGATGGTGTTCCCAGAAAGTATTTTAATACAGCAACTGACCACACAGCCAAAGCCTTAAAATCAATCACACACAACTGAAAATTGCCTCTTCCATCTTCCACCCTTTTCTTTGGAGAAAAGAAGGAGAAGCACATGTGTAAGCCTCCTCAAGTGGCGGCCTAGGGCCATTTGGCCAGCTCAGCACAGCTGGGTGTAGGACAAGGAGGGCCAGAATTCAGGTTCCTCTTCTCCTATGCTTGAGCTCTGGGTCAAGAGCTGGCACTACCAACCTTTGCCTAGATTCTGAGTAGGGGCACAGAACTGCAGAGTTCTAGTGTGTCTTGGCTTGGCTTTTCAGTTTTGTGGGGCCTGATTGGATCTAACCTGTTAAGGGAAAGGGGTACTCAACCAGCTCTAGCAGTTCCAAGTCTGGGGGAGGGAATAGATTTTCATGCAGGCCATTTGAAGGAGGAAGGTTTAATAAAGGCTTTGATTTGCTCTTGATAGAAGCAGGTTTTTTTGTTTTGTTTTTACTCACCTTCAAACATCCATTAAACATGAAGCTTCCTACATTAGGAGTAAGAAACGGTTTGCAACTTTTTCTAAGTATGGGCAGCACTCAGGTTTCTGGATGTTTCCTTACCATGCTTTCAGAAGTCATGTCCATCCCTACAAACTTCTGTGTCCCGAGGTTGGTATATAAACCAGGCTTGGGAGTACCCTCCCCCATTGTGGGGAAGAAAGGCTGAATCAGCCACTTTTGGGATATGTCTTGATGTGGATAAGGACGGAGCTTCTGGAGGTGCATTTAGAGAAATTCGGCCTCTGGAGCAATGTTTCTACAGTCCAAGGACTTGGAAGAGGAAACCAGAGTTGCAGTTCAGCATCTGCCTCCTTTATGAATGACTTCCTTCCTCCTGATTCTTAGAAGGCTCGTGACACATGTCCTGTTTGATGGAGCACACCCCACTGGGCCCTAGTGACGCAAGTTTTTCTGAGCTGTTTTCCTGGTCACGATGTGGAACAAACCTTTTATCAGTTATGGGCCAGAGCTGTAAAAGGAAGAGAAATAAAAAGTGGTGGTAGTGAACTGGCTTTGTGAAAGGTATGATGCTTCACCAAAGGGAAAGCAAGCTTTGCATATTCATAATGCACCAGACGTGTGACTCAACTCTTGTGATGAATAAGACAAGGTGACCTCTGAGGTGCTTCTGAGGCCACCCTGGCTTTCCATGCCTAAGCCTTGTATGTCACAAGACTTCCTATTGTCTTGCAGCAGACTGCCAGGACTGGAAGGGACCTTGAGAGGTCAGCTGAGTCAGTCCCCACAGCCATGTAACCAATGGTGTCAGCTTTTGGTAGCCATGGTAACTGCTTCTGGGATTCAGACGGCCACCAGTGTTCTCCCAGCTGCCTAGGGCATCTGTCCAGCAAGCTGTCTGCCTGTGTTCACTTTCGAGTCTTACAGGCAGTGAGGGGTTTCTATCAAAATGGGCCCCCCAGGTCATCATGGTTTCCTCCAGGATCTTAGGGTTATACTCTTTAACATCTACTTCTGACTCTGAGTCCCCAGTCTACAACTGGGAGGGCAGCCTGCGGTACTTACAGGTGGAAGACAGTAATGAAAATACAAGGGAAAAACACCAGCTCCCAGTTCCAGAAACTGGAGGAGGATGAGATCTCCATGTTCAGAATAGATTGGATGGAGGTTGATTCACAAACAGATGACTCAAAGGCTCCAGGAGCATGCTTGAATTGCACTCTTGAGGCTGCAAGGAGGGTAGTGTGAGCTCCCAGGAAGCAAGTGGCAAAGAGCTATCACTGAGTGAGTGGAGCCGGCAGAAAGGATTGCAGCAGCCTGAAGTCATGGCAATCATGGAAACATGGAGGAAGTAAAGCTTGGCAGCAAAAAGTTGGTCCTAGTGGCTGGTCAAGCTGTTTAGTTGGAGCAAGTCACCTAGCCTCTCCGGCCTTGTTTCTTCATCTGTAAAATCAGAAATTTGGTCTCAGTATGCTCTTAGGTGTTAGTGATATTGTTACATATGTCTGACATAATTTCATTTACACCTAAAGAGGTATTCTTATTTTCCAGAGGAGGAAACAGGCAGAGGCTACTTGGCCTGGGGTCATATGGCCTAAGAAATAGCAGTCTGTCCCCAGGTTACTTTTAACCTTTCTCTCCTCTCCTGGTAAGTTTAGGCTTCCATGTTTTTCTTTTTTCGGGGGAGGGGGAGGAAGAAGGGGAGCAGTACTGGGGTTTGAATTCAGAGACATGGCTTGCTAAGCAGATACTCTGAAGGACACTGCTGAGTCAGTCCTCCAGAACTTTTGTGCTGTTTTTTGTTGTTTTGTTTTTTCCCCCTCTTACCACTTGAGCCACAGCGCCACTTCTGGTTTTCTGGTGGTTACTTGGAGATAGGACTTTCCTGCCAGGTCTGGCTTTGAACCATGATCCTCAGACCTCAGCCTACTGAAGAGCTAGGATTACAGGTGTGAGCCACTAGTGTCTGGCTTGTGCTGGTTATTTTTTTATGTTTTTTTTTTTAATTGTAAAATACTCTACAGAGGGGTTACAGTTACATGAGCACCTCCCTCCCACCTCAACTGCATCCTACCCCCCTCCCCAAATTGTAAAGTTCATTTTTCAACATAGTGTCTTCTGCATCTCATTGTTATAATGGGTCAACCTATATCCCTGTTGAAGCATTTTGTTTTTTCCCTTCACCTCCCCAAATTAGAAAAGTGTATATACAAGATGTGCTGGTTATTTTTTTGGATAGGGTCTCACTTCCTGCCAAGGTATGTATCTGTCTGTACCATGATCCTCCTATTTTAGGCTTCCTGTCATAGCTCAGATGACAGACACATACCACTGCACCCAGCTTCTGCTAAGATAATTCTTGTAGATTTGTCTGCCTGATGCTGGCCTGGAGCCATGATCCTCTGGTTCTCAGCCTTCCATGTAGCTAGGATTACAGGTGTAAGCCACCACTGCCTAGTACATATTTAGAGCAATGCCCACAGACCGACCTTTCCTGTCCTGACACTCAGGGTAAAGATGGGCCAGCTCCAGTTGATTGACGTTGGGGTTCTACCCACCCCAGGCCCTGCCCTGTTGCATTATGGGCTACACGGTGAGCCTCATTTGAAGACACTGCTGGGAATGCCTTTAGAGAAGACAGGTTGTTCTCAATTGCTTTCAGTAGCCTAAAGGAATAATGTCCCATCTTTCTCTTCTATGTATCAGAAAGTCAGTAACAAAATGTGGCCAGTCCTCTAGCCAGCAAGCAGCCTTTCCAACCTTTCAGCTAATCAGAGCTCCTGGAATCGTGGTTATCAAATGATTCTAGTGTCTAGTGGCGGCATGGCTTGGACACAGGTAAGTTCTCACAGAGGCAGAAGGGCAGGGATTTGTAGATGTTATTTTACTGATTTTGAAACAACTGACATTTAGGTATGTTTTCTTCTGTTTGTGGATGTATTTATCAGTTGCTTCAAGCCTTTCTAAATTCGAACAATAAGCCAGTCTTAAGTCTCTTTTTTCATTCACTTGTGATGGGGTTGGAAAGGAGGGTCTTTCAACTAAGTTATAAGTCCTAAGTACTCTTTGATATTAACCTCTGTTTCTGGTGGGAAGGGGCGTTCCTTGTCCTCAGCAGATTTCTTCCATCTGGTGAGTGTTCTCACAGAATTGTCTGAATCAAATGATACGGTATACTCTACAACGCTAGGCACACAGGATTGTGTTAAATGAGGGGTGCTAGAACAGGTGCCTGTTGCTACAAAAGGAGTGTCACAACACAGTACTGCTACACATGGAGTTCACTGCTACTCACTTCAAATCAGATTTCTGGAAGAGTTATGATGACTTGTGTATGGTGATCTGGAACAGCGAATGAGCACTGTCAGCTATGGAGGGTCTCCTCTAAATGGGCAGAAGGTACTTGGCAACGCTTCCTACACAGTTTTGCTCCTTATTTGAACAGAGCTGAGGCACAGGTGGAAAGGACTATTTCTAAAGTCATATAACAGTTGGCAGTAGGACTAGAAAAAAAATAAAGTCTCTGGTCACCAAGCCTCAGGGCCATTCTATAAAAGTAATTTGGGGGCTGGGAAGGTGGCTCAGTGGTAGAGCGCTTGCCTTGCATACAGTGAGGCCCTGGGTCGATTTCTCAGCACCACATAAGCAGAAAAAAAGGCTGGGAGTGGTGCTGTGGCTCAAGTGGTAGCGCACTCACCTTGAGCTGAAGAGCTGAGGGACAGTGCCCAGGCCCAGAGTTCAGGCCCCACGACCAGACCCCCCCCCCAAAAAAAAAAATTTGGAAGGCAAGATTAACAAAAAGAAGCTAGACAGGCCTTTGGCAGGTGGCTCTACTGAATGACTGGATTTCACTTTTCTGAGGTGGAGTCCGATTACTTCACTGGCTGCTCTAGATTGGGTTCCTACACACACACACACACACACACACACCCCAGCACAGAAGGGGGTGTGACATTGTCTAAGAAGAGACTGCAAAAACTGGCCTATGGAGCGTTGCTGTAGCAGAATTTCTAGGCGAGACTGATGATTGGATCTAGATGGAATACCCCAGTCCTCTCTGCCACTTTGAAAGTTCTTCTTCTCATGAGATGGCAGCCTGGTCATGCAAGTCCTTCAGAATTGTGTCTTTCATGGGAAAAAGTTGTATACAAAAAAATCCTGACCACTTAGATTTCTGTACAAAAGTGGTAAGGTGGGGGTGCAATAGCAATGTCTTGATTCAGCCCTTCTAAAGCTGTTTGCCCTCAAAGATCCTCAAGAAACAATTGGAGATCACAAAGAGCTCTTAACTTGTGGGGTGATACCAATTGACATTTGCCATCTGAGCAGTCACAGGTATTAATTTAAAAATAATATGGTAGGCCAGGTGCCACTGGCTCACACCTGTAATCCTACTCAGGAGGTTGAGATCTGAGGATCCTGGTTTGAAGCCAGCCTGAGCAGGGAAGCACCAAACCAGCTGGAGGTGGAGCTGTGGCTCAGTTGGCAGAGCACTAGCCTTGAGGGAGGTCAAAGCTCAAGGACAATGCCCAGGCCCTGAGTCCAAGTCCCAGGACCTGCATAAAAGAAAAATAACGTGGTAGTACACTCCTGAACCCTGGCACTCAGGAGGTTGAGGCAGGAGCCTTGGGACTTTTGAGGTCATCCCATGCTATGTATCTCAAACCCTCATTACATACTGGCATATAACTGATAAATGGTAGTGAAGAAAGACCTTGTTTGGATTTTTTTGAGTCTCTAATTTCTATATTTTCACATATACATTTTTATTCCCAGATCACTTGAAAAGGTCTTAAGGAGCCCTGAGATCTTTCAGACCACATCTGGAAAACCACTGATTTAATCCAAAAGATGAAGGAAAAAACAATCCCTGAGTGGTTTGGAGGTCAGGGTAGGGGGATGTTGACCTTGACAGAGAACCCCTGAATTAGGCCCATACCCCAAAGAAATTCAAGAGGGCAATTCAGTTATTTCTGACATTCCTTCTAACTCCCACAATTCTACATGTAGCCTCACTTTATTTTTGCAGCACTGGGGAGGAAGACTTTTTTTTTTTTTTGGTTCCGGTCGTGGGGCCTGAACTCTGAGTCTGGGCGCTGTCCCTCAGCTCTTCAGCTCAAGGCTAGCGCTCTACCACTTGAGCCACAGCGCGACTTCCGGCTTTTTTTCCTTTTTGCTTATGTGGTGCTGAGGAATCAAACCCAGGGCCTCATGCATGCGAGGCAAGCGCTCTACCCCTGAGCCACCTTCCCAGCCCGACTTTTTTTAAGACAAGTTGGCCTTGGAAGTGGAGTGTGGCTCAGAGTGGTAAAACACTAATCTTGAGCACAAAGAGACTCAGGGACAGTGCCCAGGCTCTGAGTTCAAGTCCCATGACCAAAACAAATAAAAATATAAACCCTTGGGCTGGGAAGGTGGCTCAGTGGTAGAGTGCTTGCCTTGCATGCTCAAGGCCTTGGGTTCGATTCCTCAGCACCACATAAGCAAAAAGAAAAAGCCGGAAGTGGCGCTATGGCTCAAGTATTAGAGCGTTAGCCTTGAGCTGAAGAGCTGAGGGACAGCGCCCAAGCCCAGAGTTCAGGCCCCACGACCGGACCCAAAAAAAAAAAAAAGACAAGTTGGCCTCTAACTCATGGTCTTCCTGCTTTAGTCTACTGAGTGGTGGGATTCTATGCACCTGTCACCACACTCTGGCTTTGATTGACAGGCAATAAAAAAAATAAAGACTGTTGCTTACAGTCACAGAACTTATGTTCACTTGGTTTCTGGGAGTCATGTTGGCAAGGCCATGCCCAATCTCTGGAAATGGCATCAGGCATAGGTTTGCAGGTAAAGGAAGAAAGGCCAATTTCTGCTCAGAGAGACCAGAGGCAATTCCCTTCATTCCTTCTCTTGGATTAGTATCGTGCCCCATCCGGCACTTAAGGTCCCTGTCATCCTGTCTACTTGCCTTTTCTGAACTGATTCAATTCCACTTCTACCTCCTTGGATGCTTGCAGCCCCCAGCCCAGCACTTAACAACTTTAGGAATCGATGTTGATGTTGCTATCTAAAACCTGGACATCTGGAGCCCTCCAGTCTTACCTCCCTGCTGACCACCACTGTCTGTCTCTGCTCTCTTCCTTACCAAAGCTAAGCTTGTTGAAGTGTCAAGTCTATTTTCTCCACAGATATTCAATCCCTAGCATTCACTGGCTCCTCATCCTCTGTCCTGGAGAATACTTTCAGTTCCACTGCTCACAAACTTAATTTTCTTTGCCCTCATGCCGCCTTCCTGGCTCTAGCCTCTGTTCCTATCAACTGCTGCATGCGCCCTGCCCCTTACTCTACTTTTCCATTTTGACATAACTGTTGTCTGTATTCTCCAGCAGAATGGAAGCTTCCTGAAAGCAGGGGATTCTCCCAAATCATCAGTTACTATACCAGGCCTAAAATAGGTCCTGAAATATACTAAAAGTTCTGTGATAGGGATGTCATTTTGCTCATAGAACATCAGTCAGTGCATAGCATGGTGCCTAGTCCCGAGACATGCACACATGTATTTACTGCACTAGTGAAGGAATCCAGCTAAATGATGTGATTAAAAAAAAAAAAAGCTGGGGGCTGGGAAGGTGGCTCAGTGGTAGAACGCTTGCCTTGCATGCATGAGGCCCTGGGTTCGATTCCTCTGCACCACATAAGCAGAAAAAGCCGGAAGTGGTGTTGTGGCTCAAGTGGTAGAGTACTAGATTTGAGCTGAAGAGCTGAGGGACAGCGCCCAGGCCCAGAGTTCAGGCCCCATGACTGGCAAAAAAAAAAAAAAAGCTGTGACCTGCTCATCTTTGCGTTCACTGGTGGTTTTTGTTTTGCTTTTGTTTTCCATTTGTCCCTGTTACCTCACACCTGGGCATCAACAATAAATCTACCACTATCACCCTCAGGGCTGGGGCTTGAACTCTGGACTTGGGTGCTGTCCCCCGAATTCCTTTTGCTGAAGGCTAGTGTTCTATCACTTGAGACACAGTGCCACTCCCAGCTTTTTCTGTGGTTAATAGGAGATGAGTCTCACACTTCCCTGCCTTGGCTGGCTTTGAACTGCAATCCTCAGATCTCAGCCTCCTGAGATACTAGGATTACAGGTATGAGCCACCAGGGCTAGGCAACAATAATGTGTGCGTGAGTGTGTGAGTGCGTGCTCATGTACACGTTAGTACCTGCTTTAATTTGGCTAGTTCTAGCCTTTTGTAATTAATTGGAGACAGGAATCTGCCTGGGCTAGCTTTGAACTTCAAACCTCAGATCTCAGCCTCCCCAGTAGGTACAATTAGTTGTAAGCCACTGGCATCTGGCTAGCAATAACCTATGAAGCTCTATAGTTGAAGTCCACCCTGCATGCTTGTGCTACCTTAGTTTACTGCTCCTCTGCTCAGAAGCTTCCAGTGCTTCTCAGTGTAATGTCTAGTGTGCAGAGGCAATGCTGCAAAAGCTCATCTGCAAGTGGATTGTTCAGAACAGTGGAACAAAGTTTCCTATCCCCACAACATACTGATCAGGGAGACAAGTTTACATACAATATACAGTGCATACACTTATGAAGGGGAAGGAGAGAGACTAACAAAATTCATTAATTGCAGTATAAGCAAATGTAAAATGTTTCTAGAGGAAAATGTGCTCAGATTCATTTGGGCATGGCTGGCACATATCCTGGCCTTAGGGAATTCCCCTCCATGCCAAAACTGATAATTCTCACAGGCTATGACATCAGCTGTCTAATATACCTGACATGCAAAGCCCTCTTAGATTCCAGTGTCATCATGAAATCTACATTGAAATCTCTCCCCCATCATTCTAGCTAACAGTGATAGCTTTACTCTGATGTCTAGACAGCTTGTTTGACAGCTACTCTACTGTATTTTCATGTATTTTTAATTCCTTGTGAGTATGTCTTAACTCTGACGAGACTGTAAACTCTTGGGAGGAAAATGGTTCTACTTTTATATCCTTTTTTTTTTTGGGTCTGGTCGTGGGGCCTGAACTCTGGGCCTGGGCGCTGTCCCTCAGCTCTTCAGCTCAAGGCTAGTGCTCTACCACTTGAGCCACAGCGCCATTTCTGGCTTTTTTCTTATGTGGTGCTGAGGAATCGAACCCAGGGCCTCAGGCATGCAAGGCAAGCACTCTACCACTGAGCCACCTTCCCAGCCCCTCTACTTTTATATCCTATACAACCCACAGCACATAATAAATAGTAAGCACCCACTGTTACTGACATGAAGCAATGACTTGTGTTCCACATGATACACATCCTATCAGGATCTCATTTTCCTAATTGCCAGTTCTGCTCCCCGCCCTGCCCCCCCAAAGTCTCCTGGAGCCCTTAACTCAGGAGGCTGCCTTTGGAAATGTTTCATTGGGCACTGTTGGCTTTCACCTGTATGTAATCCTAACTACTCAAGAGGCTAAGATCTGAGGATTGCTGTTTGAAGCCAGCCCAGTCAGAAAAGTCCGTGAGACTTACCTTCAGTTAACCATCAAAAAGCCAGAAATGGAAGAATGGCTCAAGTAGTAGAATACCAGTCTTAGATCGAAAAAGCCAAGCAGGAGCTTGAGGCCCCAAGTTCAAGCCCCAGTGCCGTTTCCCCTCCCCCCAAAAGGAAATTTATCTCACAATAGGAAATGGCTCAAAGTATGAATGGGTCAGAGAAGATGACCTTGATTACATACAGGTACGTATGTATGTTCCAGGCCACTTACAAATGTATCCTCACATCTGCAGTATTTGGTGAAGAAACTGGGGCTCTGAGACAGGGTGACAAGACTTAGATAATTTCAAAGCTGTACCAGAAAGATTCTGACTCCAGAGTCTGTGGTGAAGATGATGTGGAGATGTCTGGTCGGGGCTGCTGAGCTCCCTGAGGCCTCCCCCTCCTGTTTCTCAAAACTGTTGGGTCAAAGGGGATGAGCCAGGCCCAGGAGGACTTTTCAATGAAGAGCACAGGAGCAGCATCTCTGCCCCAGCCACCACCTCCAGGTTCCATGCTCTCTGGCATTGCTGCACATTCTCTGCTCCTGAAGAAAACCAGTCAAGATTTGAGTCAGACACTCAATGTGCTGTTCAAGGATCTTGCCGGCAACATTGTTTATAACTGCAAAAAAGTTATGAACTACATGGTTACCTGTTAAGAACTGTGGCTAAATGCAGTACAGCCATCAGATGGAGCACTGTGTTACTCGGTATTTAAGGGACAGAAATATGTTGGTAATAAAAGAAAGCATGATACATACTTATGTGTGCGTGTAAAGGCCTGGGACATTCATGGAATACATTTAATCTTTACCTATCCAAGAAACACTAAGTAGTTTAGAAGGAAAAACGGGTAAGTTTCCCAGTAAGCGTCTGTAGAAGTTTCTGGGTTTTGTTTTTAGGGCCTGGGCGCTGTCCCTGAGCCTTTTTGCTCAAGGCTGGCGCTCCGCCATTTGAGCGGCAGCTCCACCTCCGCCTTTTTGATGGTTACCTGGAAATAAGAGTCTTACAGATTTTCCTGCGCAGGCTGGGTTCGAACCGCTACACTTCATCTCTCAGTCTCCTGAAGAGCCAGGATTACAGGCGCGGGCCACACTGGCATCCGGCACTAGTATTTTACCAAGCCCAAAGAAGGTCTGACACAAAACCCACGGGGTGTGGGCCTGGAAAGGACGAGGCGGGTGAAAGGGAAGGGGACAGCCCGCAGCTCCGCGGGGCGGACGGCGGGGCCGCACCGGGGGGCGGGGGAGGCGCCACGCCGAGCACCCCTCGGCGTCGGGCGGCCCGGGCCCCCCGCCGCCCGGCGCTGGGACGCGGGAACGGCCCGGCAGTGTTACCGAAGTCGCAGCTCGGCGGCGCCGGCGCCCGCGGGCGCCCCGGGTCCCGTCGCGCTCGCCGGCCGGCCTCCAGGCCCCGCACGCTCCCCGCGCCGCGCCGGTCCGCCGGGCCCGACCCTCGGGCCGGGGTCCCCGCCTCTCCGCCGCGCCCCCGGGTCTCGAGGATGAGGGAACGGAACGTCCACGGGCAGGCTCCGCCGCCACCCTCGGTCGCTTCCACTCGGCGCCGGACAGGAGCGCGGGTCCGCGAGCCGCGACGGCGACGCTCGCCGGGGCTTCGCCAGGGCGCGTGCGCGGGGCCCGTGCGTGCGCGACGAGGGCGCGGCCGGCCGGGACTGCGGCTGCGTAGAGGCGGCACCAGGCGCTGCGCCTGCGCAGTCGTGGGGCGGGGCGGGAAGAAGGGAGGCGGTGGCCCCGGCGGCGGCTGTGAGGAGGAGGAGGAGGAGGGGGTGCGGAGGGAGGTGTTTCTGTCAGTTCCGGCTGTTTGTTCGGGAAGTGGATCCGCCGCTGCCGGAGCAGCCCGGAGGGAGCTGCGGATCGCGAGGCCAGCACCGACCCCGCCCGGCCGCCCGCGCGTTCCGCCCCCGCCCGCCATGGCCCGGGACTACGACCACCTCTTCAAGCTGCTCATCATCGGCGACAGCGGTGAGGGCCGCGGCGGCCGGAGGCGGCGCGGGCCCTGCCGGGCGCGGCCCGCGGGGGCCTCGGGGCGGGCGGGCGGGGAGGTGCCGGCCGCGCGGGGCGGGAGGCGGGCGGGCGGGCGGGGCCGCCCGGCGGACCCGAGCCCCGGGGGCGGGGGGTGCGCCGGGGGCTCCGGCCGCTGCCAGCCCGCCGGGCGGCGGAGCCCAGGGGCCGGGCGTGCGGGGTCCACTCCCCGCGCCCGCTCCGGCCTCACGTGTGACCTTGGTCAAGTCTCACGATGTCCGGAATCGGAGAGACCCGGGTTCGAGACCCGGGACCATCAGTTTGTTCAACTCGGTGACCTTGGGCAAGTTGCTTCGCCTTTCCGAACCTCAGTTTCCGCATCTGGGAAATGGAGACCTTCCTCGCTGGGTAGTTGTGAGTAGGTGCCGAGATAAAGTGGGCAAAGTGCTCGGAGCCTGACCCCGGGTGAAGTCAGCTCTAAGTAAGTGCTAGCTGTCGGTGTCACCGTCAGGCTCCTTTGTAAGACCCACGCCTCTGTTAAAAGTCGGGGGGCGGGGAGGTGCCCCGTGTCCTCGGCCCTCGTGGGGTTGCTGTGAGGTGTAAATGAAAGGGGCAGGTAAGAGCGCTTCCGCAGATTTCGCGTTGGGTGATCATTAAATCTCGGCGTGGTTCAGTTTGCACGTCTGTGAAGTGGAATGATGGTCGGGCTGCCTCCTTCCAAGGCCGCTGTGGAGTATTCATTGAGATAGTGCACACACATAGTGTTGGCACACCCAGCCAGGGCGCAGAGGCTTCTCTCAGCTTCCTCTATACCAGAGAGGTATTGCGGGCCGATCCCCCAATGTGTCTGGCCCAGCACTCCTAGTTCAGATCTCCTGTTCATAGAATAGTGCCTGGCACCCAGTAAGTATGGAATACATAGTTGTGGAATGAATGAACGAACAGTGTTTTCGTATGTAGGTGTTGAATGAATGAATGAATGAATGATTATCCAATGTCCTTAGAAAAGATATTTTGGTTTCTGGCAAGGGGCAGGGAGGGTTTAGAGGTGTTTGGAATGTGACAGGTGTGCAGGTTTATTGGGTGACCGAGAGGTCAGGAAGGCAGGCCCCAGGAGGTTTATGGGAGCGTAGTTAAATTGCTGGGATTACATGGTGTCCTGGAAGGAGGCCTAGGGAGCAGCTAAGTTTATAGACCAGACTTCAGTTGTGGATCCGGATGAGGATCATGTGACTGGAAGTAGAGGCCAGGTTGGTTGTAGGGCTCATGGACAGTTGAGGAGATAAGGGGAGCGAATCCCTTGTGAAACCCAGGATGTAGGAGGAGGGTTGAGTGGCGGGCAGTGCCATAGATGGGTGATGGAAGTGCTCCCACCTGGGGAGCTGGACGGGGATGTGCTTGGTGGATTTGTTACCCACAACTTGGGATAGCAGGAGGGGATCCTGGAGCCGCAAAAATGAGAAAAAAAACAGGATGGGTGGGAGGGGGGGAGGGAACTCAGGGTTCAGAAGCCAGTGGGCACTGAAACCCTTGGATCCTGCACTCTTTTCTCACTTCTTTGGCTCCAGGATTCCATCGTGCTGTCCCAGGTTGTGGGCAGCAACAAATGGTGCCGATTTGTTGGCGTTCCAATGAGATGGAAGAGTAATTGTGGTTGGGGAAGAAGTGAGGAAGGTGGAGGTCTGATTGGTTGTGGTTTGAATGAAGGGAACCAAGCAAGCTGCCGAGTCTCTCACTTGGACTTGGCCTTTGGTTCACCCCAGGGTCCCGAGGCTCTGCCTATGTAGCATTTGCCTTCTGCTCTGGCCTTGGTTAAAGTCAGTCTGCTCTGGCAAAGGTCTGTCTTTATCCCCCTGCAAGACATCTCTGGCCTCTGTGTTGATCTTTAAAAATGAAAGGCTTAAACTCAGCAAGAAGATGCAGCGTTTGCTGGCTTTTCTCCTCCAAGAAACCCTGGGGATGGTTTTAGCTGCTTTCTTACTGTGCATTTTACATGGTTTATTGATTTTTTTCCCCTACTCAGAAGTCAGGTGTGGGAGAAGACTCACTGGGTCAAGATTTCTGTGGTCTGGCTATGAGTTCAGTCTGAGTATGTAGCCTGGGTTGTGTAGAGGAGTTAAGGTGCATTGCTATTTGATTTCTCCTGATGTTAGCTGATATTCAAAGCCCAACAATTAATGGTAGCCATGGAAGTTCTAGCTTTTTTTTTTTTTTTTTGGCTGGTACTAGGGCTTGAACTTAGGGCTTGGACACTATCTCTTAGCTCAAGGCTGGGACTCTACTATTTAAGCCACAGCTCTGCTTTCCGCACTCTGTGTGTGTGTGTGTGTGTGTGTGTGTGTGTGTGTGTGTGCTGGGACTCTACTATTTAAGCCACAGCTCTGCTTTCCGCACTGTGTGTGTGTGTGTGTGTGTGTGTGTGTGTGTGTGTGTGTGTGTGTTGGTCCTGAGTACAAATAAAACAGATTTAGGGCTGCTCAAGGCTAGCATTCTTCACTTCCGGCTTTTTAGTGGCTAATTGGAGATAAGAGTCTCACCAAATTTTCTGTTAGGGCTGGCTTTGAACAGTGATCCTCAGATCTCACCCTCCTGCATAGCTAGGATTACAGGTGTAAGCCACCAGTGATAGTTCAAACTAAGCTTTGCAGCTGAACAGAGAGCCTGACATTTAGTCTGCGTGTGTGTGTGTGTGTGTGTGTGTGTGTGTGTGTGTGTGTGTGTGTGTGAGTGAGAGAGAGAGAGAGAGAGAGAGAGAGAACATGATTTCACAGAGGCTTTCTCATCTGATTCTCACCCATGGCCTGTATGGTTGGCCATGCTCAGAGGAGGTAACTGGCTTGTCCCAAGTCACACAGCTTGTCAGAGACAAAGTCAGGAGCTAATGCACATCTATGCTAAAACGTGAGAGCAGCTGGTGTTAGGTTGGCAAACAGCAGGCCCTCAATGAATGCTAGTTTCTTTATAAATCTAGAGTTCTTCTTCCCACTCTGCCACATTGTACACGCTTCTGGAATGTGTTTCCTTGGCTTTTGCATCTCTTCTTTATGCCTGAGGTTCTGTACTTTTTTTTCTGCTCTTTAGTCACTGGCTCTTGATTATTATTATTGATTTTTGTGTGTGCCAGTACTGGGGCTTGAACTCAGGGCCTCGGGGTCACACTTGGCTCAAGGCTAGTGTTCCTTCACCATTTGAGCCACACTCCAATTCTGGTTTCTTGCTGGTTAATTGAAGATAATTGTCTTGTATTTGTCCACATGGGTTGGCTTCAAAGCATGATCCTCAGATCTCAGCCTCCTGAGTAGGTGAGCCACTAAGCGCCTGGCTTGACTCTTGATTTATAACAGCATCCACTGGGCAAGCCATCTTCACTCTTCAAAAAGCTGGAGGCTAGCGTGGCCATCAGACCCACTTAAATCCCTCCACTTTACAGATGAGTAAACTAAGGCTCTGGAGGATGTGACTTATCAGGGTACACAATGAGATGGATGAAAATTGGGGTCACTTTATTTGGGTCCACAGCAGGCTGGAACTGAAGCAGAGAGGAATGAGGGGCATGTGGCCCACGGAAGGAGCAGAGTCAGGGTGGCTGGCACGCAGAGGAGTGTGATGGCTGAATGTGGCATCGCCTCACTACCAGGAGGTGTTGGATGTGCTGGGGCCTGTGCTTTGTGTAGGGGAGAGAAGGCTGGAGTAGTGGTTGGTTGTTTTTTTGCTTTTTTTCCCTCAAGGCTAGTGCTCTACCACTTGAACCACAGCTCCACTTCTCGCTTTTTTGTGGTTAATTGGAGATGAGTCTCACAGACTTTTCCTGCCCAGGTAGGATTCGAACTGTGATCCTCAGATCTCAGCTTCCTGAGTAGCTGAGATTACTAATAGGCATGAACCACCCTGCTTGGAGTAGCAGTGGTTTTTTGTTTTGTTTTTTCCCCTGTCGGTCGTGGGGCTTGAACTCTGGGCCTAGGTGCTGTCCCTCAGCTCTTCAGCTCAAAGCGAGCACTCTGCTGCTTGAGCCACAGTGCCACTTCCAGTTTTCTCCCAATTAATTGAAGATAAGAGTCTCGCAGAGTTTCCTGCCCAGGCTGACTTTGAACTGTGATCCTCAGATCTCAGCCTCCTGAGTTGCTAGGACTATAGGCGTGAGCTAGCAGCGCCCGGCTGGAGTAGCAGTGTTTTATGTGAATGTGGCCATGGGTACCTTCTGCCAGTGCTGTAGTTAGGTGGTAGCAGGGATTTTCGGAAGGTGGCCTATGGCAGTGGACATCACGTTGTTGGAGGTTGCTGTAATACCACATGGTGACTCACGGCCATTGTGCAGCCCAGTGGTTTTCATCTGCTCTGTCAGGAGCATGGGGGTAGTGGAGTGGACCTGGCTGTGCCACCGTGTGTCATAGTAGATTTGGATGAAATAATCACTTAGGATTACAGGCTCACGCCTGTAATCCTAGCTACTAAGGAGGCTGAGATCTGAGGATCACAGTTTAAAGCCAGCCTAGGCAGGAAAGTCCATGAGACTCTTATCTCCAATAAACCACCAGAAAACCAGAAGTGGTGTTGTGGCTCAAGTTGTAGAGCACTTGTCTTGAGCTGAAGAGCTGAGGGCTAGTGCCCAGGCCCAGAGTTCAAGACCTATGACCGACACCCCCCCCCCCAAAAAAAAAAAAAAAGGACTCTGCTGTTCCCCCAAAGTCTGAAAGCTACTGCTTTTTGTATAGCTGTCGGTAGGATGCAATTACTTCAGGTATGGATGGATGGAAATTGTTTTGTTTGTCCCTCCTGGGTGCTGGGCCTGGCTCACAGCACTGTGAATGACAGGGTGAAGAGGCCAGGTTTGTGTCCTGGAGAAGCTCAAGGCCTAGTGGCCCAGACAGCAATTTTTAGCTGAGCAAGCTGGACCCAGAAGGCAGCAGGAGGAAGCAAAGGAAGCAAATGGAGCAGCAGGTGTCAGTGTCAGGCAGAGCTCTGTAGAGACGGGCTGAGCAGGAAGCCTCATGGTGGGTGGAGCAAGGAGGAAGTGGTGCCGGGTAAGAACACAGGTGCCCCGGGCCTGGCATCTGCCCGCCCAGGAGGGCCTTGCCTTGCCCCGGGCCTGTCCTTGGGATAGCAGGCCCCTGATGTACTCAGGATGCAATCCTCCGGGGCATCCCCAGAAGAGATCCTGAGAGAGGACTAACTGGAGAGGTGTTGGGCTAGGTTCAGAGCAGCTGGGCTTGGCCTGCAGTGGTGGTTTGCTACCTGGTTCCTTGGAGGCTAGGGTGAAGGCAGTGTTTTTGAGAACCTGATTAGAGCCATGGGTGTCTCCCACAACAGGGCGCATGCGCCCCAAATCTGCATGTAGTCACATGGTATTTATTAGATCCGAGGTTAAGGTCATGAAAGAGTTTGGTGTTTCTAACTGGAGTGAGATGTAGCAGCCGCGTGAGGTCGCTTTATTCCACTCCCTTGGTATATTGAGATTCCCCTAAGCTAGGTGCCAATGGCTCACGCCTGTCATCCTAGCTACTCAGAAGGCTGAGATCTGAGGATCAAAGTTTGAAGCCAACCCAGGTGGACAGATCTGCCAGGCTTTATCCCCAGTTAACAACAAGCCCGAAGTGGAGGTATGGCTCAAATGGTAGAGCTGTGATTGAAAAAGCTGAACAAAGGCTGGGCTCACACCTGTCATCCTAGTTACTCTGGAGGCTGTGAACTAAGGATCATGGTTCAAAGCCAGCCTGGGCAGGAAAGTCCATGAGACTCTTCAATTAACCACCAGAAAACTGGAGGTGGCACTGTGGTTCAGAGTTGTAGAGCGCTAGCCTTGAGCAAGAGAGCTCAGGGATAGAGCTCAGGCCCTGAGTTCAAGCCCCACAACCAATCAAAAAAAGAAAAGAAAAGAAAAAAGAAAGAGCTGAGCGTGAGGCTGAGGCCTTTTCAAGCCCCAGCACTGGCACCAAAGGGAAACAAAGAGTCCCCTGACAGTGGGTATTGTGGTGTCCTGAGTTTGGGTCTTCCTCCTCTTTGGTGCAGAGACTTAAATGAACTGCTCAGACGCTCAGCTGCTATTTCCTACTCTCAGGAGATGGAGTATGAGTTCTGGGAGCACCCAAGTGCCCACCACACAGACAGAACTCAGTACATGCATACATGTTAATCATTTCCTCCTGAGGCCAGTTGGCCTGGCTGGACTTGGGGGTGGTGAGGGGAGGGTGGGAGGGAGGGGCAGGAGGGCAGGAAAGCTGCAGTTGGTTAAGGTCCCTCCCCCCCCTCCAGTTTTGCAGTAAACAGCCAGGAGCTGCTGTGGTAAGTGCAGACATCTGAACAAACGTAGGCTGATGGCCTGATAGGGGTCCTGGAGACTCTGCCACCCACCTGCTCGCCCAGTTGGTGCTGACTCAGTGTGGGGGATGGGGAACGGGGGACAGTCGCTTCTAGTTGTGTGGGCCTCAATGTCCTTACCTGCAGAAAAGCCCTGATTGAAATAAGGGTTCATCCCGGCTCTCCAGCTCCTTGTTGGAGTTACTTGCAGGCAAACGCTGCATACATAGGGTGTGGGCTTGGCATCTATGGCAGCGACGCCCTTCAGGGCATCACTTGGTCTCTCGGTCTCTGTTGTCTGGTATCTCCCTCCAGCCTGCCAGGACAGCCCTCGGCACTGGGCTTGGGCACAAGTCTCTGTCACCTCCCCCAGGGGAGTTGAGAGCAGCTTGTCTTACATGAGGACGAAGGAAAAGGTCAGGGATTGACTGGAAGAAATGTTCTTGGTGTGTGGCTGCTTGGAGAGCATCCGCCACACCGAGCCGCCTTTTTCTTGTGCCTGTACTGGGCTTCAACTCAAGGTCTGGGCACTGTCCCTTAGCTTTTTTGCTCAAGGCTAACACTCTGCCACTTGAGTCACACCTCCACTTTGTTGCTGTTGTTGTTATTGTAAGATAAGAGTCTCAGTGGACTTTCCTTCCTGGGCTGGATTCAAGCCATGATCCTCAGATCTCAGCCTCCTGAGTAGCTAGGATTACAGTCGTGAGCCACTGGTGTCCAGCTCTGAGCGTGTTTAGACTTGGTGCTCAGAAGTTGGCTGGGAGGAGGAACTCACGCCCTGCTCGCCCCTGTGCTTTCTCTCTTGCAGGTGTGGGCAAGAGCAGCTTGCTGTTGCGATTCGCAGACAACACGTTCTCAGGTAAGTCCTCCCCGGCTGCTGCGGAGGCATTTCAGTCTTGAAATCCTCTTCCCCAGCTCGGAGCACATGGCTTCTGTCTAACTCGTGGAACTTTCTCATTTTGGTTGTCCAAGGATGGCCAAGGAGGATGGTAGTCGTAGCTTCTAGCTCTGTATTGTCGCAGTCTACCTGTTCAGAGAGCCTGACTGTTCTCCTTTCTTGGCCCAGGATCTGTCTCCTTACACTCAGCATTTACAAGACGTCTTCCTGTTGGAAATCTCAAGCATGTACCTCCTGCTGCCCTAAGAACCTCTGCTTGGTGTGGGGTGTATCTTTCCACTTTTTTTTTTTTTTTTTTGAGTTATGGGGCTTGAACTCAGGACCTGGCACTATCCTTGAGCTCTTTTATTCAAGGCTAGCACTCTACCACTTGGGCCACAGCTCTACCTTGTTTTCTGGTGGTCAATTGGAGATAAGAGTCTCATGGACTTCCCTTCTCAGACTGGCTTTGAACTGTACTCCTCAGATCTCAGCCTCCTGAGTAGCTAGATGACAGGTATGAGCTACCAGCAACTGCTTTTTCCACTTTTTTTTTTTTTTTTTTGTCGTGGGGCTTGAACTCTGGGCCTGGGCACTGTGCCTTAGTTCTTCAGCTCAAGGCCAGCACTCTACCACTTGAGCCCCTGTGCCTCTTCAGTTTTCTGGTGGTTTATTGGAGATAAGAGTCTCATGGACTTTCCTGCCTGGGCTGGCTTTAAACCACAATCCTTAGGTCTCAGCCTCCTGAGTAGCTAGGATTACAGACAGGAGCACTGGTGCCCAGCCTCCACTGTTTTTTTTTGTTTTTGTTTTTGTTTTTGGGGGGGGGTCCAGTAGTGGGGCCTGAACTCTGGGCCTGGGTGCTGTCCCTCAGCTCTTCAGCTCAAGGCTAGCGCTCTACCACTTGAGCCACAGCGCCACTTCCGGCTTTTTTCTTTTTGCTTATGTGGTGCTGAGGAATCGAACCCAGGGCCTCGAGCATGCAAGGCAAGCGCTCTACCACTGAGCCATCTTCCCAGCCTCCACTGTTTTTTGACTCCACCTGTTCTTCAGAAACTTTGCTCCTCTCTATCAGAATTATGCTTTCACCCTGCCAGCCACAGGCCTCCCTGGGTGGCAGTGGCTGTGTAGTTTTGTGTGCTGGGTGCGCATGTAATACTCCGCCACAGGGCTCACGCTAGTGTGTGGCTTCTGGGGGCTTCTGTGGTCCCACCTTACTCGGCATACTTACACGTGTGTACGGGGTTCCCCAGAAGTGAGGTCACGGGGCCATTGGGTCTGAGGCATGTCTTCTTTTCCCTTGCAGAGATACTGAGATAATTTGAAGGGATTGAAAGTGCTCCTTGTCAGCTCTGATCAGTGCAGAAATTGCTGCCTTGTCCACCTCCAGCAATGTCTGCAGCAATAGTCATTGGAAAGTTAGCTTCTCCATGTGACCTTGAGGGAGTGACTCAGCCTCAAGTTGTAGAAATGTCGCTGTCCCTCTGACGTGGTGGGATTAGGCACACCTGAGAGCCCAGGACCCAGTGCCTGGAGCCCAGTAATCGCCCACTGTTCATTGTGGCTGTTAGATGAACTACTGGGCAGCCTCTGCTTAGGCCAGGAATCGTCTCTCTGCCTGTCAGCTGCCCGCTCTAGGGGATGCTTTGTGGTCTCCTCTCCTCAAGTGGACTTCCGGTATCTTAGCCCACTGTTGGTTCTCAGTAGGAACATTCCCACACCACTGATCCGTGGCTCGGCAGCCATGCTTCTGTGTCAGATCCCCGCGGCCCTGTCTCACCTGAGCAGGGTTTACAGCAGGGCTTCTCCATGTCACACTCTTGACGCTGGGCCCTGCAATTCTGTGTTGTGTGTGTGTGGCGGGGATGGGGGGATGCTGAGTCAGATCAGCCTCCTAGATGCCCATGGCACTGTGACAACCAAAATTGTCCCCAGACAGTGCCTGATATATGGAAACAAGATCTTCCCTGATTGGAGACCTCTGATCTTCTATTTTCTTTCCAACTTCCCTTCTTATTCTGCGTGCGTGCGTGCGTGTGCGTATGTGTGTGAGTGTGTGAGAGAGAGAGAGAGAGGGAACGCACGCACACGTGTGTGCGCACATGCATGCTGGTCCTGAGCTTGAACTCAGGGCCTGGGTACTGTCCCTGAGCCTTTGTGCTCAAGGCTAATGATGTTCTATCACTTGAACCACAGCTCCACTTCCTGCTTTTTGGTGGTTAATTGGAGATAAGAGTCTCACAGGCTTTCCTGCCCAGGTTGAATTTGAACCAAAATCCTCAGATCTCAGCTTCCTGAGTAGCTAGGGTTCCAGGCCTAAGCCACCAGCAGTCGGCTTACTCCTTTTTTTTCTGGCTCACTCGCATGTACATTCATTCAACCATCAGCTGTTTGTTTAGTTCCTAACCATGTAAGTCGCTGGGTTTTCTGGCCCCTGAACTGAATCAGGTGCTAGCTTGGTTTCTGACTGGGTTTTGGCCTTAGCTGCTTGCTTCCATGTGGGGCCTCTCTGCTCCTCTTGAGTATGACCTTTCTTACCTATTCTTTCAAGTGGAGCCCAGCTATGACCCCCCTCCCCCTATTGCCTTGATTTCTACCTCACCCTAAACTTTGACCTTTCCCACACTTCTTATGATGATTTGTGTGTGCGTATGTATGTGTGTGCATGTATGTATCTCTGTATGTCTGTCTCCTGCACAATGTGATGTGGCACGCTGTGAACGGAGCGAGACTGCTCAGAGTAGGCGAGCCTTTGTCAGCCTAGACTGGACTGGCGCGTCATACCGGCTCTTCTCAAATCCACCTTCCACAGAGATGCCCCAAGCAGGTCATTAAACGTCATCTTTACCTGACTTACGTAACTGTAACCCCTCTGGACATCACCTTTATAAAAACAATAAAAAATACAAAAAAAACCCCATGAACAAAAACCCCGCAGCTCGTGTCCTGGTGGAGACTCAGTCCTTCCCATCGCACACAGGAAACAATCTACGTCGTCAAAATGACACAGAGACCTAGATGTCAGCCGTGGATTCCCGGCCTGCCCGGCTATGGCTTGGCCTTGCAGACCGTGGACTCATCATCTCTGCCTGGATCAGTGCTTTAGGTTACACCCTGTTAGTATGTTACGAAGTTAGTTTTCTGGACCATTTAATTTTTTTTTTTTTTTTTTGGTCGGTCGTGGGGCTTGAACTCTGGGCCTGAGCGCTGTCCCTGCGCTCTTCAGCTCAAGACGAGCGTTCTATTGCTGAGCCACAGCGCCACTTCTGGTTTTGTAGTGCTTTATTGGAGATAAGAGTCTCACTGACTTTCTTGCCCAGTCTGGCTTTGAACCACGATCCTCAGATCTCAGCCATCTGAGTAGCTAGGATTACAGGCATGAGCCACCGGCGCCCGGATTATTTAATTTTTTAAAATATAATTTTATTAGGTGATGTACAGAGGGGTTACCATTTTGTAAGTCATGTAATAATGAGTGTGTGTGTGTGTGCGTGTGTGCTTGAACTCGGTCCGGGCACTGTCCCTGAGCTTGCTCAAGATTAGCACTCTAGTATTTGAGCCACAGCTCTACTTCCAGCTTTTGGGTGCTTAATTGGAGATAAGAGTCTCACAAACTTTTCTTGCCTGGGCTGGCTTTGAACTGTGATCCTAAGATCTCAGCCTCTTGAGTAGCTAGGATTACAGGTGTGAGCCACTGAGGCCTAGCATGAGAACATTTCTTTTTGGACAATGTCATCTTCCCTTCGCTTTCTCCCTATTTCCCCCTCCTGCCCACAAGTTGCATAAGTTCATTTTCCATCTTGTATTTCCTATGTTAGGAAGTCAGCTTTCTGAGTCTTTTAAATACTTCTTCTTCCTCCTCCTCCTCCTCCTCTTCTTCCTCCTCCTCCTCCTCCTCCTCCTCCTCCTCCTCTTCTTCTTCTTTCTTCTTCTTCTTCTCCTTCTCCTTCTTCTTTTTTTGCAAAGAACGAAAGAGAAAAACCTGTAGTGAATCATAGGTCTGCTCCATTCTCAAGTCACAGGTGACCTGACCTGCCATTCTAGTGGAGCCTGTCTCTTTTCCCCGAGTCACATCCCAGTGTATTTCCTTTGTGGCATTCCCGCTGTGAAACGTCATCTTTCTTAGTTTGTCGCCTTGTATCCTGCCTCCCTTCCACAGTGGACTCCATCAGGGCTCTTTGCTCAGGAATCTCGTGGGGTGGGTGTTAGGCTCCCGAGATCTGCCCTGTGCAGTTTGGGACGTGGAGGCCAGGGCTCCCCACTGGCCCTGGCTGACGGGCTGCATGTGTGCAGGCAGCTACATCACCACAATTGGAGTGGACTTCAAGATTCGGACTGTGGAGATCAACGGGGAGAAAGTGAAGCTGCAGATCTGGGACACGGCAGGGCAAGAGCGCTTCCGCACCATCACCTCCACGTGAGTCCAACCCCCCCTGCCCCGGAGCCCCTTCCTCTTCCTGAAGATGCCCGAAGAGGCATTGCCATGCCCTGGCTTGCGTGGGGTGGGCAGACCGGGCTGAGTGCTGGCTCTGGTCCCCTCCCCTGGGCACAGCTTCCCCCAGCTAGCGGTGGCAGCTCTGTCACCCCAGTGCATGTGAAGGGCTCTGCCCACCCACACACTGGCCAGGCAGTTCCTGCTGGTAGGGCTCTGGGCATCTACCCTAACTCTTCAGGGATGAATCTGTGGGGACATGTGGCTGTGGAGAACCCCTTCCTCCATTTCTCCCCCCCAAACTCTTGACTGGAGCTCTGCTCCCCGCTGCTTTTGCTCCGTGGAGGCCCTTGGCCGCAAGAGGAGCAAAGCTCGGGGTTCTGCCGCGGGGCTGTCAGTTCTTGAGCTCTGAGTGGAACAGAGTCCAGGAAGGTGCAGGGTGGAGAGGCGGGACGCTCGAGATGGGAATGTCTGCTCTGCTCTGGGTTCTTGGGCAAGTCGCCTAGACGGAGTGCGTGCTTGTTTCCCTGCGGGTTACCGTGCAGGGTTTGAATGCTGAGGTCCAAGGCCCAGTCCCCACTTTGTGCTTTTCCTGAGTCTTCTTGCTGACTTCTCCCACCGTTGTACGGATGAGTGAGCCTCTGAGCAGTGGTCTGTCCCCAGTGATGGCAGAGCCAGGGCTGGCTCCAGCAGAGGGGCTGGGGTCTGGCCTTCTGTGGGAATTCCCGGGACCTCTCCCCAGAGCAGTTCCTGTCAGTGGACTCAGCCAGGCATGGGTGGCATCCCCCTGGGAGAGGCCCCTGCCCCCCTTCAGTATAGACACTCAGATGTCTGTCCTGGGCTTTCAGGATCCCATGGTAGGGGTGGTGAGTGAGGAGGCGCAGGGCTGGGCAGGAAGGAGGCACAGGCGCTGTGTGGACTGTGCTAGCCGAGAGAGGCTGCCAGCATCAGCCCTGCAGTGGGCACATGAGCGTCTTGGCCGGGCTCCCCGAAGGCGCTCTGTGATGACACACGGGTGCGCGCCACCGGAGGCGAGGGCTTTTGGGTCAGGCTTCTTGGTGTAGGACGACATCAAGTCTCAGGTGTGGGGCTGGGAAGGTGGCTCAGTGGTAGAGCGCTTGCCTTGCATGCTCGAGGCCCTGGGTTCGATTCCTCAGCACCACATAAGAAAAAAGCGGGACGCAGCACTGTAGCTCAAGTGGTAGAGCGCTAGCCTTGAGCTGAAGAGCTGAGGGACAGCGCCCAGGCCCAGAGTTCAGGCCCCACGGCCGGACCCAAAAAAAAAAAAGAGTCTCAGGTGTGGCTCAAGTGGTAGAGAGCTTGCTGAGCACAACCCTCAACACCACCACTCCCACCAAAAGCCAAACAGTGGAGCAGCTGGGAGCCCATGGACCCGAGCAAGGGCCCCTCGTAAGGGTTCGGGTTGGCAGAGCTGCAACCGAAGCCACGCCCTCACTGCGGCCCGGGTGTATCACCAAACACACGTGGTCCCAGTAAGGAGGCCTGTGAACAGCTTGGGAGTCACACGAATGCCTCTCTTGATTACTTAGGATTGGAACTGAAGTTCATCTGGTGCCAAAGCTTAGGCCTTTCCCCGGCTCTGGGGGTTAAAAACCAGTTTAGGAGTTCACGGCAGCAGGGACAAAAGGCCTGTGCCCCGGGCAGGGGGCTAGGGCGTCGAGGCCTTCTCTGTAATGCCGCTGCTGCTCCCCACCATGAAGTCTGCGCCCTTTGGGCTGGGCGAGGTGAGCGGAGGCTGAGCTGCCCCTCTGTCGGGGAGACTTGGAGAAGTAACTCAGCACCCTGAGGACAAGTGTGTTATTGTGGGTGCAGGAGGAGAGGAGGTCTCGGTGCTGGGGCCCGTGGACTCACTGGGGTCCTGCTTGCCTGTCTGGGGAGACACCACACACTTGTCACCCCGTGTTGGTAGTTGGGGGGGGTCTGGGCCAGTGAGGGTACCGGATGTGGCCTTGTCTGATCCTGAGCACTGATACGGAGCAAAACTGCATCCTGCTGGTCTTCACAAGACTTGCTCCCTCTCCCTGAGCAGCTCTAGTTTGCTTGTCTGAGGGGCAGCTGTGGGGAGGTGGGGGGAGAAAAGAGGGAAGTACTAAGGGTGGGTGACTTGACCCTGGGCTGGGGACTCAGACCCGAGCCCCAGGATGCTAGCCAGACTCTCCCCTCACCGTGTCCTCTGTCCTCCCTGGCACATGGCCACAGTGGCTTCTGTTGGACTGAGTTGCTACAAAGATGAACAAGGTAGTGGGTGTGAGGGGCTTGGCCCAGTGCCTGGCCTGAGCTCTGCGCCCACCTGCTCCTCAGCCCAGAGCTTGCGCAGATGAAGGCCTGTCCCTTGCCCAGCGCAAGCACGGTGCTGAGGAGTGGCAGGGGCTCTGCCCAAGGCCACGCTGGGGCACTTCTCGGGTGCAGGGGCATTCTGCTGACAGGGATCAGGGTCCACCCTAGAGGCTACCATCAAGCTGCTGGGTGATGAGCTGGTGCTCGGGGCAGCAGCTGCCTTGGGGCTGGGGCTGGGGCTGGGGCGGGTTCAGGCTGTGGGCCAAGTGAACACCCACCCTGGGTGGAGGAACAGCTGCAGAGGCCACTCACGGTGCCCTCCAGGGCCCCCCGCCACCTCTATCTGGGACCCCAGATTGCCCCGGCAGGAGCCGGAAGAATGATAAGGAGCATTCCGCCCTTGGGGTATCTGTGTTACCTTTTTAACGCCTCACATAACCCCAAGAGGTGAGTACAAGCACCCCCATTTTATGGTTGTGGAAACTGAGGCAAAAGCAGTAACCTTGAAGTCCTAGCATGTTAGAGATGGAGCCGTGTTCTTTTGTCCTCAGATCGGCCTGTAATGTGAGGAGGCGGCAGAGAGCTCATGGGCGGGCGGATGGGAACGGAGCGGCACTGCCAGCCCAGCCGCTGCTCCCGCTCCCTGCCCGGCCCGCACCCCCTCGGAGCTGGGCTTTGGGAGAAGGGCTCCCCACACTGGGTAGCAGCAGCCAGCAGGCGGGGAGAAGCAGCCTGTCCACAGGGTTTGTGTCCCTTGGGGGGTTCTCAGAAGCCCATAGGCATTGAGGGCCTGCGCTGTGGCCGTGCACTGAGAGGGTCAGCACCAGGCTTCTTGGAGTTGATGTCCTCCACCTGTCCCGAGCCACCAGCACGAGGAACCACATCTTCCTTCCAGACCTTGTAGCAGCTCTTCTGCAAGGTTTGGATGGCTAGGCCCCAGCCTTACGTGTTCTTGTTGCTGCCCAGCCCCCCCGGAGCCCAGAGATGCAGGAAGGGAGGGGTGCGCTTTGCCAGGGCTCCACGAATGAAGCAGCTTCTGGGAATGGCATTTTACTAAACCAGATTTCAGGAGAGAAAGTTCTGAATGTTTGAGCAAGGATCGTGACCCTCGGATGGCAAACACAAAATTTGCCTGAATTCTAAAGAGAAAATGAGAACTTCATAGAAGCCTCCAGCTGCTGGCAGACCCTGAATCCCCTGGGGTGACTCCTCAGACCTGGTCTGTCACCTCTGGGCCAGCACCCCTCCTCTCTGATGCCCTGGGGACAGGCACGAGACACCAGTGCTGTGGGAGCCTGCAGCGGGGTGCAGGGCCTGGCCATGGAGGGAAGCAGCTGCTCTTGTCTGGGCTGAAGCCTCATGCGCTCTTGGCCCCACAGGTATTATCGGGGGACCCACGGGGTCATTGTGGTTTATGACGTCACCAGTGCTGAATCCTTCGTCAACGTCAAGCGGTGGCTTCATGAAATCAACCAGAACTGTGATGATGTGTGCCGAATATTAGGTGAGGCCGGGCTCCGGGGCGGGGCGGGGCGGGGCGGGGCGGGCAGCACGGTGGTGCGGGGCGGCACGGTGGTGTGGTGCGGGCGGCACGGTGGTGTGGTGCGGGCGGCACGGTGGTGTGGTGCGGGCGGCGCGGTGGTGCGGTGCGGTGCAGGCGGCGCTCGGGGCTCTTGCGGAGCTGGCTGACTCTGCCCTGTCTTGAAGTGGGCAATAAGAATGACGACCCGGAGCGGAAGGTGGTAGAGACAGAAGATGCTTACAAGTTTGCCGGGCAGATGGGGATCCAGCTGTTTGAGACCAGCGCCAAGGAGAACGTCAACGTGGAAGAGGTGAGGCCCAGCTGAGGCCCTGGGCGGAGGGGGCGGGCCGGGCCGCCTGCGGCTTCAGCAGCCAGGCCTCCTTTCTCCCAGCTGGATCAGGGCAGCTGGTGAGCAACCTTTGATGCCCGCTGTGGGCCCTGAGTGTGCCAGGCCCATCTCTCATCTGTCTCTGTGTTTCATTCTAATAGGGAACCTGAGGCTCCAAGGGTTTAATAGCTTTAGGAATGTCACACTAGTGAGAGGTGGGGTCAAACTTCGCTCTGTCCCGCCCCCAAGCCGTGCATTTCCACCCAGCACCCTGCCTCACTGGCTGCCTCTGCTCCCACGGCCAGCGCCTCCTGCTCTGGCTCTTCCTGAGTCCTGCTTGCTTTCCTGTGGCCTCCACAGCTCACCTGCTGTGAGCAGCTAGGGCTGCTCAGCATCGTGTAGCCTTCTCTTCACGTGCGCCGTGGAAACTGGTCAATCGGGGGAAGACGGAAACTGGTCAATCGGGGGAAGAAAGCCAGAGCTTTGCCACAAACCCCCTTGCTGGCCTCACTGGCCCTGACTCCTTAGTGGAGTCCAGGGCTCCAGGGAGATTGGGTCCCTGGTGCCTCAGGAGCTTGGTCCTTAGGCCAGGACCTGAATCGTGGACTTGCCCTCTCTGGGCTTCATTCACTTACGGGTAGGAGCCTAGCCTAGTTTGTGCTCATAGGCACTGGCTCTGCCGCCTTCGGCTTTCCCTTCCCATCCCACCACCGCTGCTGCCGTCGCTCGCCTTTCTGGGTGGAGTGGAGGTGAGGAAGGTGGCTTGGTGGATGCAGCTTCCTGAGTTCTGGTACTGGAAGGACATCAAGTAGTTGAGGAATGGTTCTAGACAGGATGGGTAGGCCCGTGAGCCAAGAGATGGCCTGGGGTGAGCAGACTGGCTTCCTTCTGGCTGTGTCTAGAACAGGGCACCTTTACCTGTCTTGTCAGATTCTTTTTTTTTTTTTGGTCAGTTGTGGGGCTTGAACTCTGGGCTTGGGTGCAGTCCCTGTGCTCTTCAGCTCAAGGCTAGAGTTCTACCACTTGAGCCACAGAACTACTTCCGGTTTACTGGTGGTTAATTGGAGATGAGAGTCTCACAGACTTTCCTGCCTGGGCTGGCTTTGAACCATGATCCTCAGATCTCAGCCTCTTGGATAGCCAGGACTACAGGCGTGAGCCACTGGTGCCCAGCCAGAGGATTCTTTCTAGTAAAAAAAGGACTGGAACACCCCTAAAAAATAGCTTCCCCAAGTCTATACGCTCAGCTCTTTATTGTTGTTTTTGACCTTGAACTATCTCCTCCTAGAAAAGGTTTTGAGGGCTGGATGTGGTAGCACATGCCTGTAATTCCAGCACTTAGAGGGCTAAAGCGGGAGAATGATGGGTTCAGTGCCATCCTGGGCTACACAATGAGATCCTGTCTCAAACCAACAAAAAGAAAGGGTTTGGAGGACGTAAGTCCAGTGCACTGAGGACCAGGAAGCTGGGCTGGCTGGGAGGCAGCGGTGGCAGCCCGCAGAGGCTTCCACACTAAGCGGGCTCTGCCATCTCCTCTCCAGATGTTCAACTGCATCACAGAGCTGGTTCTCCGAGCCAAGAAAGACAACCTGGCCAAACAGCAGCAGCAGCAACAGAACGACGTGGTGAAGCTCACGAAGAACAGTAAACGAAAGAAACGCTGCTGCTAATGCCCCAGCCGCTGCAGAGACTGCGCTGCGGTCCCTCCCCCAGCCCGAGGCCCAGAAGGCTCCTCGGGGGACAGTCTCAGTTTCCTGCCGTTATTTAAAGAATTCTCCATGTTTTTTGTATCGGGAGGCGCCATCCGCACTTCCTCTCCCTCCCCCCTCGAGTGCCAAGAAGGTGTTGCAGGAGCCTGCCCTTCCCACTGGTGCCCTCCTGCCTGCCGAGGCGCCTGGACTTGGCGAGGACGCTGCCAGCTGAGCGGACTGATTAACCAGTTTGTACATAGTGTATATTGCTTTAACCAGCCGCACACCCTCGTTCTGCTCTGGCTTTGCCTTCTTAATGCCAACCTGCTGAACAGACCCCGCACCCTCGCAGCCCATCTGGCCGCCAGCAGCTTCCTGAGGAGACAGCCTCACCTTGTCGCTGTGTCTGGCTGACCTGGACCCTTGGCGTGGGCTCCACGTTGCTCATTCTCTCCTACAGGCTGTCCCTGGCACGCAGGGTCTGACCCCTCTCCAGGGCCTGTGCCGGCCCACTTTCCTGCCCCCCAGCTGCTCTGGGAGCTGGGACCCCCGGGGCCTTGAGGCATGCCCCGACCTCTGCTGGCCCCAGGGCTGTTGGTTCTGAGAGGAAGTCAGTACTCAGCTTTGGCCTACTCGTTTCTTGTCCTGCCTTCTAGAACCTCTGCTGCATACCCAGGGAGCCATGGCTTGTAATTAAGCCCAACATGTTGCGGTTCCAGCAGACAGGTAGGGGTATGCCTGCAGAGGTGGGGCTTGTGGGGGGCAGCAGGGTGGAAGAGGAGCATTATTTTAACTGATAAACGTGAAGCCAAATTAAATTAATTAAGCTCCTCAATTATTTTCTTCCCAAGGCTTGGCTGGCCCCGCAGTGCAGGGTGCCGTCCCCCTGTAGGGTCTAGCGCGTTTAGAGCAGTGAATTGCTTCCCGTCATCTGGGGCCCAGGCTCTTTCCATTTCTTGGGAAAAGAGAAGGGGCCCTGCACCCTGGACCATGTGGGCCCAGGGGCCTCCTGCTGGGGTTCGGAGTCTGTGTACTAGCACCTCGATGTGGGAGTGGACATCAGGGGCTGTCAAATGATGGGGTGATGCCTCTGAGCTGGGGCGGCAGCACTGGGTCACTGACAGAGCTGTTTTCGTGTGAAGGTGGTAGGATTTCGTAGCATGTGGGAAGAAATGGCCGTGGGTGGGGGCAGCCCGTTTTGATGGAGGCCGGTTCCCTGGAGGAAAAGCCAAGGCCACCTGCATTTGATGACTGCTCCTCTCCGCACACTTCATTCCCTTCTCCCGTAAAAGGATCACGTACCTGGGAAGAACTGATCTCAACACCATGATGTGTTTGACTAGATTTCCTGTCCGAGGCAATTTCCAGGCACAGCCCTGACCGGACAATCACTGACTGCAGAATTTCCATGTTAACACTGTGGATGGGTTTTTAATCAATAAAAACTGGGGGTTTCTTCTCACCTGTCTCTCCACTTGTCCAAAGTGTCAAAAGCTGGGGTCCCGTGTGACAAGGCCTTCACCTTGGAGCTGCGGGCGTGGATGGGCGCTGCGCTGGCGGGCTGAGCAGCAGGCAGCCTTGTCTGCGGAGCTGGGAGCAGCAGCGCAGTCCCTGTCCTTGGCATTGTCCTGGCTGAGGAGGCGCCTGCCTGGTGGGCATGCGCAGGGCTCGGGGCTCCCGCGGTGGGGTGTCACGCTTGCCTGAGCATTAAGCCAGGCTGGAGCACTAGAGGGCTTCTGGCGTCTGGACATCTAGGCTCAGGTGTGGGGTGATGGCCGCCCGTCGTGCTGAGTGCCGCAGGCATGAACCGGGGTTAGCGAGTGCCGGGGGTCCCAGGGCTAGAAGGACTTGATGTGAGATTCCTGTCAAACAGACTTTCCAATGGTTTACTAGGATTATTTCTGTATTGAAAGTTTCTAATGATGCTTTTTAAAAAAACATACTAAAAATAAAGATTCAAGCTGCCAAATTTCCTTCCAGGATCTGTTTGCTCTCCCTCCCGCCTGTGCTCCGGTGGGTCTGGCTTCTTTCCCACCCACGGGTCCAGCTCCTGCTTGTTTTCAGTGTGTGTCTGGCGCAGGTGCCTGTCAGGCCCTGGACAATTTCAGAAGCAAGTTCACTGGGCCAGGGCGGCTGGCCCCGGGCGGCTCTCCCCTCCGGATCAGCGCCCCAGCCGGGAGCACAGGTGGGAAGACGCCATGGCGAGCACCATGTTTGTCACATGCTGGAAGGATGCAGGGAAGCCTTGGCCTGCAGTGGTTTCTTTCTGGCTGGGAGTTTGTCAAGTTCAGGGCCAGGTGCGGCCTGCCTGATAGTTTACATGCTGGAGGCCTGGCGGGGAGCCTGAACCATCGGGATGGAGGCGCCGCTCCTGGGCCGGCCTCCCAGGCGCTGCAGCTGGGGCCAGTTCCGAGGTGCTTCTGACTGAGAAGGCGCATTCGTACCAAACCCTCCCCCTTGCCCAGCGATTGAGGCAGAAAGCTCTGTAGAAATTAATTTTATTCTTATTCAGACTATTTTCAAAAGAAGCAGTGGTGCGCTGTTTTTCTAAAAATATGCCTTTATAGATTTATATATGTATATTATAAAATCCATACATGTATTTACACGGTTGCTACATACAAAATTCCAGCACTGTGGTATGTACATATCTATAGGTACATTCTTTCTGCTCATCCCTGCTGTGCTTTTCCCGGTGAGGGCAGGAGGCTGAAGCAGTGTACGCGGCTGCGGGCACAGCCTCTGAGTTGGGGCCTCAGCAGAGATGGGGGGTGGCTGCAGGCCTGGTGGGCAGTATCTAAAGGCTCCCAGCAGCCTCACCCCATCCACCCTGTGGTACCTACACTGCCTTCAATGTGAGGGTGGCTGATCGGGCCCCTGTGAGGCCGTTCTGTGGCCTGGGCGGGCGTGGCAGGGCCAAGAAGTTACACTGGAGGCAGGAGAGGCTGTGGGAGGAAGACGAGCCTCCCCTTCAGCCCTGGCCCCATGGAGGGGAAAGGGCGGGATGGCGGGATGGCGTCCCACAGGACACCAGTGAGAACACGCTGCCTGGCCCGGGCCTCAGCGGAGTAAGGACTGCACTGGAAGAGGAAAGGCCCGGAAACAGGGCCCTCCCTCGGCTCCAGGGGTGGGCCCCAGGCCTTCACCCCGCAGCCGCAGGCTGGGCCTCCTGCCGTGGAGGGCTCCAGCAGAGGTACATGCATGTAGGCACGGGGCGCCTCCCCTGACTCGCTGGGCCAGGGCTGGGGCAGAAATGGAGGCATGCGGGGGGAGAGCCTCCGCTTCTGTTCCCATCTTCTGGAACCGAGGCGGCAGCAGAGCCCGTGGGAAGGGCGGCTTTAGGAAGTGGCCTGGGCCCCGCTCAGTGATGGGCTCTGTGGGAATCCCAGGCCTGGGCCTGACTGGGAAGCGGGGACAGGGTCCCTACCTGTCTCTCTCTCTGTCTTGACAGCAGCCTCCGGAGGCGAGGCCAAGGCAGGCCACGGCCTCAGCCTCCGTGTGCGCTGCCAAAGGGGAGCAGGCTGTGGAGGCGGATGGGCCCTGGGATGGGGGAGCGGTGCTCACGGCGCCTTTGAGCTGCCCACCTCCTGTCCTTGGCGTCCCAACTCTTCCCAACTTAAATTTTCCTGAAGAATGAGAAGAGCCGTCTGCCTTCTGTGGTGCCGGGCTCGGGGGCGGGGCGGCCGGAGAAGGCGGCAGCAGGCCGGCTCCGCTCCTTCAGGTGCGTGTCCATCAGCTGCCGGTCAATGACCCTGTGCATGTCATCCTGCGGATCGGGAGGAACAGGTGGGAGGTGAGACGCGGCTCTGGCCTGGCCAGCAGACGGACAGGGAGGTAACAGACGTCAGAAGGACACGGATGAGGAGGAGCAATGAGATGGGTGAACAGCGACACAGGGCTGCCAGACCAGAAGGGAGTGGTGAGGGTGCACGCGCACGGTGCTGGGCGCGCAGGAGCTGATGGCGCTCTGTCTCCTCGGGCTTGAGCTGACTTCGCTGCCAGCGCCATCCCTCCTGACCCTAAGCTGCTGTCCCTATGGGCAGCAGGCCCACAGCTGGCCTCGGCTTGCCAGCTCTCCGGGCCAGCGACTGGCCTGGGGGCCGCTCACGCGCTGCTTTCCCCTCTTCCATCTCCCGCCGGCCCGTGAGTGCCCTCGCCCCAGCCAGCCCGGCTCCTGTGACAGCATCGCCGTCTTCAGGGACACTGTCTTGCACCAGCGAGGCCCATTTTGGTCAGCTTCACTGGGTGAAGGACCTTTCCCTGCTCCAGTTTGCCTGTGGCCTAGAAAATGTGTCCACTGCCCTTGCTTACACAGCAGCAGCTTTCCTGCACAGAGGAGGGCGGCTCAGGCTCTTGCCTTTCTGGCTGCTAGCTGCTGATTCTGGGTAGGACTCCACCTCACAAGGGGCTCTGCCACTGACCACGTCTGTAGGTCAGTGGCCCTGAGTAACAGCCATCAGCAGTAAGGGCAAGGCTGTCTGCTTGACTCAGAGCCCTGAATCCAGCTCTGGGTTCTGAGATGTGCTGGTAAAACGACTGAGCTCCGGGTTCAACCCCGAAGGGACTCCATCCCTCCAGTCCTAGCCTGGGTCAGGAGAGGCAGGGGTCTGGGTGTCTCCGCAGTTAGGGCTATGTCCTCTATGGCTCTGAGCGGCAGTTGGGCTGGCCATGCCCCTCCGACCAGCCTGTCCATCACTGCCCCTGACTCGCTGAGCCTCTGCAGGCCTCGGGCAGTGAAGAGATTTCTTTGTTCATCACCAGATGGTGGTGAAAATGTACTTATCTCCCCTTGCTCATGACAGGCAGCCCGCCTTCCTCAGCCTCCATCACACTAACTTGCTCCCTGGCTCCTCTCCTTCCAGCCCCCTTTCTAAACTTGCTCCTCACATCTGATGCTGTACTAGGTCTTGGCCAACAGCCCTGCTTCCGAGGTTCCCACCCTGCCCTGCATGGAGGGCGGGCATGCTCAGTAAACTATATCGTTCGCTACAACAGGCGGAGGAACACGAAAGGGTCCTTCAGAAAAAGCTGGCGTTTCTCACAGCTGCGGCACCCTCCACCTTTATAAAGAAACCAAGTTCCCCGCCACATCATCACATGCTTGCCACTCCTCCAGCAGGCAAAACGATGTGTTTATGAGAAGGTGGCACCAAGAAACCAGGTTAGCCGGAGACGGTTTGACCTGACAGAGCTGGGCATGCGCTGCCACAGGCTCACTAGACATGATGGGGGCAGCAGAGGCGCTCGGGCTTGGGCATGATGGCATGTCACTGCACAGATGACGCCGGGCTCCCGGCACACAACACGGCGGGCTGCGAGGGGAGGCGGGATGATGATGGCGGTGAGGGGAAGGTAAGTGGGATGTAGGCTCGGTCTCACCTCGAAGGCAGGAGGGGTGTACGACTAAAGCTGTTGGTACGGGAGCTGAGAAAGGCCACTAGATCAGAAACCAAAGGAGCCAGATAGTGAAAAGCCCCGAGGAAGCAAACTGCAGCCAGGAGAGAAGAGAGAGCAGCGCAGTGAGCCGGGGCCTGGCCAGCTGGCGGCCTTGCAGAGCCAGGGAGCCAGGGCACCGTCCTGGTGGGGCCAGGGCTCAGCTGCCAGCTCCGCTGGGCCTTGGAGGAACAGCCGCGGCTGGCCCGCCCTTCTCTGTGGGGCTCACCTCAGAGCCCCACTCATCTGTTTGCGGCTTCTTGGGGAGACGCATTAATGGCTACCCACATCCCAACACTGGACTCCCTCAAGCTCCTCACTGAAAAGCCAGTTATAACAGCCCTGGCCCAGCAGGGAGCTTTGCAGAACCCCGAAAACAGGTCCTAGTGATGGCCTGCACAGGCCTGCACAGCACAGCGCTCTGGAGAGAGGAAGCTGCTGGCCTTTGGGACAGGGAAGGGCAGCAGCTGCAGGGCTGCTGGCCCGCACCCAGCTGCGGTTTGTCATTCGTCACACGGGGCTTCCCAGCCCTACCACTGCTGATCTGTTTCCTTCTAGTTTTAAGCCAAGCCATGAGGAACAGCTGAAGAAGGGCCTGGTTCAAGTCTGGAGGTCACTGCAGCCCCCGACGGCAGTCACGGTCCCCAGGGACAGGAATTCTGTGGGCAGGGAACGGGGTGACCCTTCTGCCTCACACTGCTGACTGCAGGGGCTCCGGGGGTGTCCCTCACCCCATGTCAGTGCTCTTGCTTACCTGCCACGCCTCAAGCTGCTGTGAGAGGTTCAGTTTCTGCTGAATAGCATCCAGCAGCTGGCTGTTGAGGGACATCATGTCCATCTTGCACTTGGCCAGTTCCAGCTCCACAGCGTTCTTCCTGCAAGCAGAAGGCGGGGGTGAGCACGGACAGCTGTGCAGGGGCACCTGGCTCTCTAGGAGGAGACCTGAGTGCAAATGCACGAGTCTGTAACTATGTTGTGCAACAAGCTTCCACAGAGTTCTCTCAACCTTCAGAGCCAACCTGTAGATGAAGGGACGGTTTGTCACCTTCATCTCAACAGGTGGAAGAACAGGTCGAGAGTGATTGAAAGAGGAGGACAGGGCTAGGAATGCCACCTTCCTAGCCCTGGTGGAAGAGCGCTTGCCTTGCATGCATGAAGCCCTGGGTTCAATTCCTCAGTACCACATACACAGAAAAAGCTGGAAGTGGCACTGTGGCTCAAGTGGAAGAGCGCTAACTTTGAGCAAAAGAAGCTCAGGGTCAGTGCCCCAGGCCCTGAGTTCAAGCCTCAGGACTGGCAAAAAAGTAAAAAAAATTTTAAAAGAGGAGGATACTTGAATGAGGAATGGAGCCAAGCACCTGTGGCTCACAGAAGGCTGAGACCTGGATGATCATGGTTCAAAAACCAACTAGGGCACGAAAGTCTGAGAGACTTCATCTCCCATTAATCATCAAATAGCAGGGCTGGAGGTATGGCTCAAGTGGTAGAACACAAGCCATAGGTTCAAACCCTAGTACCAGCAAGGGGGAAAAAAAAAAAG